CACAAGTGTACACACGTACAGGCAAAATCATATGAGTTAGGGGCTGGAGAGATGGCTCAGTGGTTAAGAACACTGACTGCTCTTCCAGAGGACCTGGGTTCAATTCCCAGAACCCACATGGCAGTTCACAACTGTCTGAAGATCCAGTTGCAGGGGATCTGACACCTTCACACCAATGCACATAAAGTTAAATAAACCATAAAAATATTTTTTTAAAAAAACATACGAGTTAAACTGGAAAGAAATTCGAGGCAAGTTCAGTGGTAGAGGCCTGTGCAAATCTCCAGCACCTCAACAAGCGAATCCGCTCTGTTGTCCCCAGATTTCTCCTAGTAGTCTATGTGGGGCACTGCGGGCATTGTTATACCTGGAGTCCTTGTATGTAAGCCTGAGGCTGGAGAACCAACTGGGCCCAGCAGATATAGAGATGAGCCTTGAAGGCAACAATACGGTTGTCTCACTGGGAGGAGAGCCGGTTGGCGGTCGATCTATTGATGGGGGGGTCATTGGTGAACCTCAAGAGATGAGGTGTGTTGAGATCCTGGAGGGCTTGCTGCCCTCGCCCACCAGTGCCTGCTCTATCTCCTGGTCTTGTCCTTTTGTTTTCCATAGCCCAGCAGAGGCCATGACCGCCTGGATTTGCCTGTGACTGTCCGTTCCCTCCCCCGACCCTTTGAAGACCGAGAGAGGCCGGAGCTTGGTAGCCCCGAGGAGCGGCTGCAGGACAGCAGTGACCCCGACACAGGCAGTGAGGAGGAAGGCAGTAGCCGCTTATCTCCACCCCACAGTCCTCGAGGTGAGACCCTCTGGGGTCCGGGTCTGGGACTTCTGAAAGTACTGCCAAGTGGCTCCTGAGGTTCAGTTATTCCAAGAGTACAGGGAAGGTTCCTGCGGTGTGGTGACAAATGGGGGGGGGCTCCTTTTCTGCTGTTTTTCTTGTTTGTTTGTTGAGACTGGGTCTCTCTGTGTAGCCCTGGCTGTTCTGGAACTCCCTCTGTAGACCAGACTGGCCTAAATTCAGAGATGCACCTGCCTCTGTCTCCCAAGTACTGGGACAGTCAGTGTGCGCCGTCACCACCAAGGGTAGTAGAACTCTTGAGAGGCAGTTTTTCTAATTGGTTGGTGGCTCCCAACCTTTACAAGTAGAAATTCATTTTAAAGTAAAACAGTTTAAAGACTGCCACCTCCTAATGGAGAGAAAACAGTCAAACCCCTCTCGGGGTTTCACGTTTTAACAGTGATTTTGCTGCCTGAGGGGTTGGTCATCCTGCCAGGGTGCCCAGAGACCGCACCCCATGTCTGCATAGGGGCCTTTGTGTGAGCCTACTCCTCACCACCTCTACCCTGTCTCACTCTCCAGACTTCACCCGAATGCAGGACATCCCGGAGGAGACAGAAAGCCGAGATGGGGAGCCTACAGCTTCGGAGAGCTAAGGGGACCCCCACCTCCTGCCTGGTGCCCCACTGAAGAACATTAATTAGTAAAGGGGTCAAACCTTGGGGACCCCGTTCTGCCAATAATGAGGGAATATTTGAAAGAACTGCTGATTGTCCTTGCCAGCTCCTGGGATCCTTGGATGCCTATGGCCATGTGGGACTGGGGATTTAGAGGCCACAGCCCCCAGGTGGCATCCAAGAGCTACACCACAGATGCCAGTTTTTCATGCCTTCTTCCCTCTACTTAGGAAAAATTATTTATTTATTGTTTATTGGTTATGTGGGGGAGAGTGAGACTTAAAGGACCAGGGACATGGGAACCAAGCCATAGGGACCAGAGGACCTTTCCTTTCACACCGCTGGGACACGTGTAGCTTAGCCACAAACTGCTGGCTCCAGGCTAACACCCACTCCAGTGACTCCCATCCGTGGCCACAGAACCTACTGCCCCTTTAAGGAGGGCTGTGTCCCCCCCTCTCCTTAGGCTCCTCCTGCTGGTCTTCCTTCTCGTCATCCTCCATGGAAATCCGGCTCCTTGGGGTTGATGGAGTCGAGGCTAGGGTGGCCATGATGTATTGGGGTGGGGGAGGAAAAATCCACAGGGACCAGAATGTTTTGTTTTTGTTTTCTTTTTTTGTACCAAAGCCAACTGCACGTGTTTTATATTTTTAAAAGAAGATTGTAGGTACTTCTAGCCCCATGTCTTTGAACTTGAGGAATTGGGGAGACAGTGGCTTCTTTCATCTACAGTCAGGGCTCTGCTGTTCGGAATTCTTCCTCAGTCATTTGAAAGAAGCTCTAAGGTGGGTTAGGGAACCTCGAACCCTCACCTCATCTCCCACCACGGCAACTGTGGTTGAAACGTAAGCAAGAAAGCGGGGAGGTTCAGTGCACCCCAATAGCCACCAGCAATAGCCATGTGTCGGCCAAGTTAATTGTTAAAAACAAAAAGACAGAGACAGTAACAACAAAGAAAGAAAGAAAAACCCAAGCAGGGAAAAAAATTCAAGACCTGAACTGCACCAGGTGCTGTCTCTATGGCCCACTCTAAGGATTGCGGTGCCTGCAGCCAGGCAGTGACCACGGTTTCTATAAAGGGGCTGCCACTACCTCACTGAAGAGGCCACTAAAAAAAAACGAAGCTGTCCAAACCCTCGTTAAAATCTCAAAGTTACAATGATGAAAATGAAGCCGCACCCAGGCTCCAGGGGCTGTCGGTGGCTCCAATATTAGAAAACTGGTTTGCATCTTATTTGTATGCTGTGCTTGGATATCACATCTGGCCCTTGCCACCTCTCTAGTTGCCCGCCCCCACGCTTCATTCCCACAGAGTCAGACTCAGGGCTGAGTTCTCAGAGGAGCAGCCCTGCTCATGCTGCCCAGTGGAAAGGCAGTAAGTGGTTTCAGTTCTTTGTTTTGGTTCATCCCACTTCCTGTCTCTAGGCCATAGGGCAGGGTGAGTGCATGCACACCCCCACAGCCTCTGATGCAGGGTGAGAAGAAGGGTGTCAGGACCCTAACTAAAAAGGAGGATTGGCATTGCATGGGCAGCAGGCTTTGAGACGCTGCCAATACTCCCCTCCATAAGCCTCTGGCCCTTACGAGACACTTTCTAGCCAATCATGGGATTCTTGGGCCATAGGAGTTGTTTTATATGTTTATTTATTTACTTTATTATTATTTTTGAGACGAGATCTTGCAGTGAAGCCCAGGCTGGCCTTGGACTCACGTCAATCCTCTTGCCGCAGCCTCCGAGTGTTGGAAATGCAGGCGTGAGCCAGTATGCCCAGCCCCAGCCTCTGCTGTTTTCCTTTGCAGGATGGGTGCAGATCGGTTGCCAGGCCCTCTGCCTTACACACAGCAGCACACAGTTTCGAGCATTCCGATGGCTCAGTAGCTGCGTTCAGGGGTAGCACTAAGCACGCAGAGGTCAAGTAGAGGAGACAGTGGTCAAGTCAGGAGAGAGGAGTGCAACTCCCCAGCATTCTCCAGAGAGGAGAAAACCTAGGACCTGGAGACTGAGTCCCAGAGTATGAGTTCTAGAAGCTGGGGTGCTTCTGCTGCCTTATTACTATGATTCCACCCCATTATCAGCACAGAGCCAGCCCCATCCTGTCATCTTCCCGTCCCTCGCCATGCTTTCTGAACCTCAGGTCTTCATTGTTCTCCCCACTGCTGCCTTTTCAAACCTCGGTGGCAGCGTGCTCTGGGGGCCAGGGTTCAGCTCCTTACCTAAACCATACTGCTCCCTTGGAGGGGGCTCTAAGCCTGGGTGCCCAGTTCTCCGTCGCCACCCCCTACCCTCTCACCCCTCCCCACCCTACCTCCTCACCCTCCACCCATCAGAAGTAGGGCCACACGCAGCTACTTGAGTTGGTCTTGTTGATATTTACCCTCGGGGTTCTGTAAAGCAGATGCCCCCAGAGAGAGTATCCGGTCCCAGCCAGGCCTTTAGAGGCGCTGCTGGGGCAGCTGGAAGAAAGCTCAGGGGAGGGAAGATTTCTCACCTTCCTGATGGCTAGTAATAGGCCTGGCGTTTTGGAGCCAGTTTAAACATTATCAAAAAGAGGAAATTAAACATCAAGAGGCTAATTAAATCTCGTTCCCATCCTTTAATATGCCGTGAGTTGAGCGACTCCTCAAACCTTTGGGTGACTGGGTGGAACGGGCAGTGGCACCTGGAGGTATTGTGGCTCCCCCCACAGGGTGCTGCCTTCCCCCCACAGGGTGCTGCCTCCCCCCCACAGGGTGCTGCCTTTCTGGGATTTTGAGTGACTGGTCATCCCAGAGACTGGTCCTGAAGGGAGGGCCTGGAGTAGGGGGCTCCATCCATCTGTACCTCCCCTTCATTCCAGAAGCAGACCCCAGTAAGATCCCTCCTGGTGAACAACTTAGGTCATTATCGTTTAAATGAAGATGGAAACCAAGGGGGCCCTCTGCTCAGACGACACCCGCAAAGGGGGTTTTTGAAGGCCTAATCCTTTAGTTAGCGTCTCTCTTTGCAGAGTTTGATGTTGGTTTCATCCTTGGTTGCTCTTCACCTGAGTTTTTGAAACCAAGTGTGTCCCTGAAGCTACTAGAGCTTGCTGATTTGGCTGGAGTGCCCAGTGAGTCTGGGAATCTCCCTCTCTTCCTCCCCTGCACCACAGTATCCAGTGTCTGTACATGGAGCAGAGCCTGAACTCCAGTCAGGTGCTCCGCACCTTTGCTCCGAGCACCGCACTCACAGCTGCTGCCTAGATTGGTTTTTGTTGTTGTTTCTTTGTTTTGTTTTTTGTTATTGTTTGTTTTTATTTTCCAAGACAGGATTTCTCTGTACCTTTTGGAGCCTGTCCTGGAACTCATCTGTAGACCTGGCCTTGAACTCACAGAGATCCACCCGCCTCTGCCTCCAGAGTGGTGGGATTAAAGTCATGTGCCACCATGCCCAGCTATTTGTTACCGTTTGTAATTTTAGGAAGTGTTAGTGTGTGCGGTGACATACATGTCAGAGCACATGTATGGAGGTTAGAGAACAACTTTGCATACTTAGGTCTCTCAGTTCACCTCTATGTGGATTTGACAGTCCAGCCCAGGTTGCCAGGCTTGTGTGCCAAGTGTTTTCCCTGCTTTGCTTGCTATCTTGCTGGTCCTTAAAAAACTGTTTTATTATATATGTGGTCTATGGCGTGCATGTATGGGTATGCATGACCATATCTCTTTTGTGCGAGACTCTCATTGTACTCCATATACCAGGACCTTCATGGTGTCCTGTACCTATCTGTCAGCTGCCCTATTTCCTCTCCATTTTCCATGGAAACTGCAAATAATAGTAACACTGCGTCCTCCGGCACTGTCGAGTCCTCTACCCCAAGCTGGTCCTGGACTCTATGTAGTTTAGGAATATCTTGAATTCTCCATCAACTGAGATACAGTCCCAGCCTTTAGAAAACTGATCGAAAGCTGGGCATGGCAGCACCCCAATACTTGGGAGGGAGGACAAGAAAATCAGGAGTTCCAGGCCAGCCTTTATTGAGTTGGAGGTACCGTCCTTGTCATGCAGCCGTGAGGCCCTGAGTATGCATGGCCGTTGGTGCCTACAGAAAAGCCAGCTGCAGCAGCACCTGATTCTCACTGCTCAGCCAGCTGCAGCAGCACCTGATTCTCACTGCTCAGCCAGTCAAGCCAATAGGTCAGCTCCGAGGTCAGTGTGAGACACTTTCTCAAGGGAAGGTGGGGCTGGGGAGCTAGTTTGACAGTCAAGAGTGCTTGCTGATTTTCCATAGGACCTGAATCTGGCTCCCAGTACCCTGGGCTGGGTAGTTTATAGCTCCCCAAAATAAGCCCCAGAGGAGCTGCTATCTGGGCACTCACACATTTACATAATTATTTTCAATTAAAAAAAATTGACAGCCAGGTAGAATGACACTCAGAAAACAATGGATCTCTGAATTCAAAGTCAGCCTGGTCTACAGAGTGAGTTCCAGGACTGCCATGACCACACAGAAACCTTGTCTTAAAACAAAAGCTTGGTTTTGGGGCAGGGGTTCAACAGGGTCTGGAGAGAGCTTAGTGGTTAAGAGCACTGGCTGCTCTTCCATAGGACCCAGGTTCAATTCCCAGCACCCATATGGCAGCCCATACCTGTCTGTAACTCCAGTTCCAGGATATATGACACCCTCACATACATTCAGGCAAAGCACCACTACACAAAAATATATATTTAAAAAAGGAAAACAAAACCCAACAAACTAATATTCATGCAGGCAAACACTAATACACATGCAAAAAAAATTAAGAAAAATACTTGAGCAGGTAGAGGTCCTTGCTACAAAGCTTGATAGTCTAGATTCAGTCCCTGAATCTCAGATGGCAAAAGGAGAGAATTGACTGTAAGCTGTCCTCTGGTCTCCACGTGGAAGTAGCACGTCTCCTTGCCCAAACAAGCGTAACTTGTAAAAGGAAGAGCAAGTGTGGCGACACATGCCTATAACCTGGCACTTGGGAGGCATAGGCAGGTGCATCTATGGACTACATTAGGAGTTCCAGGAAAGGGAGATGTAGTATGACCCCGTCTCTGAGAAAGATAAACTAAAGAAGAAACCTTACGTCTGCTTCTGGCATTCACATATGCAAGTGTGAGCACACACACAAATGAAGGGAGAAAAAGGAAAGGAAGCAAGAAAAAACCGAACTAAGAAAGCTACATGTGTCAGCACATGCCTATGATTCTAGCCTTTGGGATCAAGATTAAAGAGTTCAAGCTACCCTCAGCCTGAGTCGCATGAGACCCCACTCCAACTTAAAAAGAAACCTGAGGTGGGCGGTGGGCACGCCTTTAATCCCAGCACTTGGGAGGCAGAAGCAGGCAGAACTCTGTGAGTTCGAGGCCAGCCTGGTCTACAATGTGAGTTCCAGATCAACCAGGGCTACCCAGAGAAATCATGTCTTGAAAAAAAGCAAACAAGAAGAAGCTGATATAGAGGGGTAATTCGCCCAAGGGGGATGGGTTAGACCACGGACTCTGGCATGCTACTGAAACTCAGCCTTTGGTTCCTGATTCTTCCTGATCCTCCAGACCTCTTCTGTACCCCTCCCTTCGCCCCACCCTTTCCCTTGTAATTGCCTCCCTTCCGTGCTTGACTGAAGGATGTGGATCTATTCACTATTCTCACCAGGCTACACATCCAGGATCTCCTGACTGGAACCACAGGTTCCAGCAAGCCCCGCTCTGGCCTCTTCCTGCTGCAAAAGCGGAGGCTTATGTGTCGTTTCTTTGGCTACCCCTGAGATGATAAGAAACTGAATGGCCAGAGAAGGTATTTTTGGTTTGGGTACCAAAGAGGGATTAAGGGATGCCCTGTTTTGAAGAGAGTGAGACCAGGAGAACCCATGTCTGATTTGGTCTAGACCCCATCCAGGGAAGGTATCCTGTGCTGTACGGGCACGAAAGGTCAGACAGTCTGGATGGTGCAGAGGTTTAGTCCCGGTTTCTCTTCGCCACCTCTGGGGACAAGTATTGCCACACCCACTTTCGGCCTGGCCTCCAGCTTCTAGGTCCTGCCACACCCACAGTTGGTGATCAAAGGTCAGACTTTCCCTGGGGACCCTACAGACTGGCAGAGAGCGCAGCTTCTCCCCAGAATCTGTGGGTTCTGCCCCTGGTAGATCTCAGAAAAGGGAACGGGAACGTCCAGGTGGCATCCAGGTGTCCCTTTGTGTTTGGGCTTGTCGAGAGTCCACGCTCTGGTGCCAGCTACCCATCTCCCACTTCCACACAGGCCTTGACCAGGGGTCCCTGAAGGCACTGACCAGAACTTGCTGAGGCTGGCACCAGAGAAGACATAGAGCACAGGGTTGAGGCAGCTGTTGCTGTGTGCCAAGTGGGTGATGACAGGAAAAAAAAAAGTATGGATGATGTAGAAAGTGCTGTCCCAGGGCACCAGGTAAACCACTACCAGAATGCCCCAGAGGGTGACTGCATGGTTGGGAAACCAGCAGAAGACGAAGGAAACCATCAGGACAGGAACAGAGCGGGCTACCACTCAGCTGTCCTGCCACCACGGAGGCCTGCACCACTGCGACTCTGTGGAAAAGCCAGCAGCAGCAGGTGGTGATGGTGCCCAAAGACACGATGAAGGTCAGAACCACCCTCTGTAGCTGGTATGCCCCCAGCCAGTATCTGCTGGGGAAACGCAGAAGGCAGAGGCGCACACCTCACAACCTACCCTCAGCCCCAAAGGTTGCTGTGGGCACAGTCACCAGGGCTGCCGCCACCTACACTGCCAGGGTGACCACACATGCCCAGAAGACAGACAGGTGCCTGCCTGGTCTCACAACCATGGCCAGCACCCAGTATCTGGCAACACTCAGCGCTGTGATTAGGAAGGTGCTGCCGTGGATGCTGAGGCCAGGAGTCGTCAGGATTACCTTGCAGAGGGCACTTCCAAAAGGCCAGTGTGAGTCCAGTGCTTACTCAGTTACCCAGAAAGAGAGAGTGAGGGCCAGCCCCAGGTCTGCCAGAGCCAGGCTGAAGACAAAGGTATCAGAAGGTGGACCAGGCACATGCTGAGCATAGTTACCTGGTACCCACAGTGTAGGAAACCGACCAATCACTGAGCACCCTGTGTTTGAGACCTGGGCCAGGGAGAGAAACATCTTCATCCCTAAACCCAGGACTAAAGACATGTTCCCTGGCTCTGAAACTCGTGTCAGAGAAACACCCTTTGTCACTATAATCAGAGCCAGTAAAGAACTATGCCCTGGTCCTCAGATTGGAGTCAAAAGGTAAAAAGAGGGGGCTGGAGAGATGGCTCAGTGGTTAAGAGCATTGCCTGCTCTTCCAAAGGTCCTGAGTTCAATTCCCAGCAACCACATGGTGGCTCACAACCATCTGTAATGGGGTCTGGTGCCCTCTTCTGGCCTGTAGGCATACACACAGACAGAATATTGTATACATAATAAATAAATATTTAAAAAAAAAAAAAGGTAAAAAGAACCAATGAAAGAAACACAGTTTGGCCATGAAGTCAGAGCCTTCTCTGCCTCTGACCAATCCCTGAGCAGGGAAAAACTAACCAATCCCCCTTCTTCCTGGGAAAAGGTCATCCCTAAGAAGTCCTATATAAGCCTCTCCACCGCTCCAGTTAAGAGCTGCCATTAATCTCTCCCTGGCAGAGGCAGCCACCCTCTTGGACTCCTCCTTCCCAAATAAATCTTTCTCAAAAATTTTTTTTTTTTTTTTTTTTTTTTGGTTTTTCGAGACAGGGTTTCTCTGTGGTTTTGGAGCCTGTCCTGGAACTAGCTCTGTAGACCAGGCTGGACTCGAACTCACAGAGATCCGCCTGCCTCTGCCTCCGGAGTGCTGGGATTAAAGGCGTGCGCCACCAACGCCCGGCTCTTTCTCAAAATTTTGAGTCTTCAGTGACAACCTTCATTCGCCAGCGCTAAGCAGAAGAACCTGGCTGGGATGTCCCTTAGGGAAAACCTTGCTGAGACGCTCCCTAGGGGGCCTCAGCAAGGCGGAACAGAGCGGAAGAACCTTGCTAGGACGCTCCTTAAGGGGACTGAGCAAGGCCAGTGGAGGAAAAGTAACAACGGAGCCAGAGGAGATAGCTACATTTCTGCAGGGGACTTCAGGGGGCTTCCTTTTAGCAGAGTGTTAGCAGAAGAAACCTCCTGGACCAGAGAACCAGATAGGCTAGCTCAGCTAGGACTCTCTCCTAAGGGAACAGAGCAGAACTCGGCTGTTGCGGCCCTAGAGGAGAAGAGCAGGATCCCTGTATCTTGCGGGGAGACCATTCCTCACCGCACCCCAGCTTCAGGTAGTCTGGTTTCCCCTAGTCAGCACGCCTTTCCTCCAGGGCTGAGCTGTCGCATTGCAGCTCCAGCCTCCAGAGCTGTCCTATTGCGGCTCTACCCCCCACCCAGAGCTGTCTATTGCGGCTCTACTCACCCCCAGCTGTCCTATCGCAGCTCTAAGTATATCCTGGCTTCCTGATAAGTCAGGATATACCAACACACCTACTGTACCACATTGCCCTACACACACAGCATAGCCAAATTTCCCAGCAAGCCAATAATACCTACAAGTCCATAGGCCAGTGTGACCACGATCCTCTCAGAGCAAGGACCTGAACGGGCACTGCAGCACCTTCAATACTCAGCACACTGTCTCCAGAGCCACTGACCCAGAAGAGGGTGGGCAGAGAGGCAGAAGAATTGATGTGGCCATCGTAAGGCATCAGAGGTTGCTGGAGCTTGCTGGAGCGGAGCAGAGGAGTCAGCAAGTACCTGTTTGCTGTACTGGCAGGTGCCAGAGCAGCCAGCAGGAGAGCGGAAGAGACCTGGAATCTGGGTGTTGGTCTGGAGCTTTAAGTTGCAGGAGCCTCTGCCCGTGCTCACAACTAAGAGGGAGGGGTGTGGATAGAACAGCCTGCTTCTTCCCTGTTGGACAATTGTCCTGGGTGCGGCAGCACAAGAGAGTGACACGTCCACACTGCAAACAGATGTATGACAGCGAGGAAAAGGAGAAACTAGAGACGTCTGGAGTGGTGGAACCAAACCAGAAGTCCCCCTAGTCTGGGCAGGGTGTTAAAAGAAGTCTTGGAACAGGCTAGGGAAGGAATACGGGGATAGAGGACAAGAATGGAAGTCAGAGACAGAGAAGAAGAAATGTGTCTCGTGTCCTATAGCGGCTGTGCCTTTGCCCTGTCCTTTCGAGTGAGTTACACTGACTCCCCTGCATGCATTTCTGTGCTTCAAGTGTCAGTGTGCAGGCCAGGGAGAGAGTGGCTCTGTGGGTAAAGGGCCTGCTGCTAAGCCTGATGACTTCAATCCCCAGGTTCCTCCACACTCATGCTTGGCCTGTGTGTGTGCCCCTCCACTAAATGTTAAAAAGAAGATATACAAAATAAATTCAGTGGGGTGGCAATTGCCTGTGGTCTCTGCTATCTGCAAGGCAATTGGATCAGTGGAGCCCAAGACTTGAAGGCCAATCTTGGCAATATAACAAAACATAATCTCAAAAAACTTAATAATAGGGCCATGGATGGTTGCACAAGGCTGCTGAGTTGAGTTCAGTCCCTGGAACCTAGAAGGAGAGAGCAGGTACTACAGAGTTCTCTCTTGACCTTTATACGTGCACAGCAGCATGTGTCCCTCAGCACTGCTAAGTTTAAAAAGTGAGATGAAGTCATGTAAAGACCAGGGTTGACAGTGTGCTGACTCACCTCAACCTGGCCAAGGTTGTATGGTGAGACCCTGTCTCAAAACAACATAAAACCTGTCGGACAGCTTTACCTGGGTCCCAGGATCCTCAGGCAGAAAGAGATAACAGACTCCTGAAAGTCGTGCTCTGACCCTGTGTGCTCGGTAGCACAGTGTACACTGTGCCCATGGCTGCACAGAAATACTGTTTAAATCAGCAGCACACTGCACACTGTGCCCTAGAAATGCTGTTTAAATTAGCAGCACACTGCACACTGTGCCCATGGATGCATAGAAATGCTATTATTTTTTAGTTGGCGCTAGAGATGCCTCAGTAGTTAAGTATTTGTTGCTCTTGAAGATGACCTGAGTTTGGTCCCCAGCACCTGTACAGCTAGCTGTTCACAACCATCTTAACTCCAGTTCCAGAGACTATGACCCCCTTCTGGTCTCCATGCGCCCAAGGCTTGCATGTGGGGCACACATACATGCAGACAAGTACTCATGCATATAAAATAAAAACAAGTCCTTGAAAAAGTTAAATTAGAGGGGCTGGAGAGATGGCTCAGTGGTTAAGAGCATCGCCTGCTCTTCCAAAGGTCCTGAGTTCAATTCCCAGCAACCACATGGTGGCTCACAACCATCTGTAAAGAGGTCTGGCGCCCTCTTGTGGCCTTCAGGCATACAGACAGAATATTGTATACCTAATAAATAAATATTTAAAAAAAAAAAGTTAAATTAGATGAAAATGTCCCATTGTTCTGGTGTAAGGAGCTAATGTGAGTTGGTGCCTCATATGCCTTTGCGTGGTGACAGTCAAAGGGGCATCTGGAGCGTCTGTAATCAAAGGGGGTAGAACAATGAGCAGCTATTGTCATCATGCCCAGGGAACATGCCAACTAAAATTCAGAATTCACTGCAGTACCATGTGACTTTTATGCTAAGAAGGGGAGGGAGAGGAAAAGGAGGAAGTCATAGCTTCCGGTGTACCCTTCTGTGCACATTGGAACCCTGAGGCCATAGGTGGATGGCCCGGGCATGCCTTCGGCTCTGCTGCTCTTTATCAGTAAGCAGTCCTGCCAACCTGTACCACCCCCACTCCACTGCCGCTTCATCTTTCCGGTGGAGTCAGAGCTCAGTCATAACCACATTCCTCCATGCCACAAGCCCCATGGTGGAGCTCTGGACCCCGAGACAAGCTTTTACCTCACCTCATTCTGTCTCCCATGAGCTCGGTCTCAAGGAGGTCATCTGCTTTCCTTGCCCACATCTCTGTCCACTGCAGGGGCTGTGATGGAGAGAGCACAGAATGGGGAGCTAAGAGTGAAACCGGTTTTCAGGGTTCTGAGAACATCGTGCTCCTTTCTGCCGGCTCAGATAGTATCCGATACTCAGTTCTCTTGGTGTTCTAGAGGAGCAGGGTAGGGGTGTTTTCAGTGGGGCTTGAACCCATGTGAGAACCCCAGAGGTGAGAGAGATGCTCTTTGGGAACCGGGATGTTTGAGGTTTTTAGTAAGAGGAAGGTGAGACAAGGTTAATAGAAAGGTAGTGCTTAGCCGGGCGATGGTGGCGCACGCCTCTAATCCCAGCACTCGGGAGGCAGAGGCAGGCGGATCTCTGTGAGTTCGAGACCAGCCTGGTCTACAGAGCTAGTTCCAGGACAGGCTCCAAAGCCACAGAGAAACCCTGTCTCGAAAAAAAAAAAAAGGAATGAGCCCCTTTTTAAAAAAAAGAAAGGTAGTGCTTAGCTCCAAGCCTGGTGAGGCCAGAGCTACCCCGCTGACATCATAGACTGAGTCTTCCTTGGCCTGATTACTCATTTCTTTTCTTTTTTTTTTTTAAATATTTATTTATTATGTATACAATATTCTGACTGTGTGTATATCTGCAGGCCAGAAGAGGGCAGCAAACCTCATTACAGATGGTTGTGAGCCACCATGTGGTTGCTGGGAATTGAACTCAGGACCTTTGGAAGAGCAGGCAATACTCTTAACTGCTGAGCCATCTCTCCAGCCCTGATTACTCATTTCTTGAGACCATGCTTTTTGGTCAGAATTAAATTCCCAGTATAGCAGTTCAGGTAACCTAGTTGCTGGTGTAACAGCTTAACAACAGAGTGATCCCTTTCTTGCTAGAGTCCTCCAATCCCTTCACTTGCACGCAGATGAAAAACCAAAACCATGGAGGGAGTTTACTATCATGCAAGCATGAGTATCTCTGTTAAAATTCCTGGAGCCTATGCAAAGTCAGGCTCAGGAAGAGCTTCTGTAATCCCAGTGCTTCCCAGGCAAGATGGGAGGCCATATTAGTCACTTTTCTGTGGGTGCAACGAAATGTCACCTTTTTAGGGAAGTTTCTGGTTCCTGAGGGTTAGTGTCCATCACGGTGGGGAAGCTTGGCAGCAGGCGTGGCGACAGGGGTGTGAGACTGAGAGATCGGGTAGTGGGGCAAGACTATACACACGCTGAGGCTGTCTGTCCCCCAGTGACGTTCTTCTAGCAAGACTATACACACGTTAAGGCTGTCCCCCAGTAATGTTTTTCTAACATGGCTCAACATTCTGAAGGTTCCACAGCCTTCCCAAACAGTGTCACTAACTGAGGACCCAGTGTTTAAATATTGCCTTCAAATCACTACAGAAGTGGTCCTGGGAAATTCAGGAGTCAGCTGTGGGTGTTGCCCAAAAGACCATCTCTGGGTAGAGAGTGAAGACCGAAAGCCGACATTCCCTCTGAATTCCACATAAGTGCCATGGTAAGTATAAGTGCACACACACACATACAAAAAAAGATGTAAACATCATTTCAATATATTGAATTTATTTTCTCTTGATTAGAAAGAAGATTAATGGGTGTGGCTGTAGAGATGGCTCAATAAGGGTGCTTGCTGGCCAGATGGTGGTGGTACTCACCTTCAATCACAACATTCCAGAGGCAAAGGCAGACAGATCTTTGTGAGTTTGAAGCTAGCTTGGTCTAGGATAGTCAGGGCTGTTACACAGAGAAATTGCATCTCAAAAATCAAAAAAGAAAAACAAACAAAGAGTGACAGAAGAACCACCAGGACAGAGAGAGAGAGAAGGAAGAACCACCAGCACAGACAGACACTGTCTCATGAAATGGGTTCTTCATTTACACTCGCTGGGGAATGAGAAACCAGGGTCAACAAAAATGCTTTTGTTAGCCCCGTCTTCCTATCGCCTCATGGCACAATAACTTACAGCCGAATTAACTCTCTTGGTTACAGTTGGAGAACTGGTACCAGCAGATCCATGGTCCCAGCCTCATAGGAAAGGACCCCCACTAGCCCAACTGAATAGCCACCCTCTCCTTTCAATCATGCCTCTCCTGTTGTCCTTCAAAGCAAGAGGAACTGTGGAATTCCTAGAGTTCTGCCAAGAACATTGGAAGGACTGAGCTAGCCTCTTCAAAGAACTAGGGGAAGGAAACTACACCTGCATTTGTCATTGAAGGCAGAGACCAGACCCTTGGGGAACAATCGACGGTAGACATAGGAACCCTAGTGAGGTAGTCCAGTTCCATAACCTCACACCACCCGCATCTTAGAGTGTCTATTGCTCTGATGTCTATTGCATTACTATGACTATTAGTAACGCGGGAAGGAAAGGGTTTATTTTGCTCACACTTCCACATCACAGTCTGTCACCAAAAGGAGTCAGGGCAGGAGTCAGGGCAGACGCAGAGGCTGTATAGAACACTGCTTGTTGAGGCTCATCATCATCATGTGACTTGCTCGGCCTGCTTTCTGCTTTCTTTTCTCCCTTATATATTTATTTGTTTGTTTATTTAAGATTTCTGTCTCTTCCCCGCCACCGCCTCCCATTTCCCTCCCCCTCCCCCAATCAAGTCCCCCTCCCTCATCAACCCAAAGAGCAATCAGGGTTCCCTGCATGGTGGGAAAGTCCAAGGACCACCCACCTCCATCCAGGTCTAGTAAGTGAGCATCCAAACTGCCTAGGCTCCCCACAAAGCCAGTATGTGCAGTAGGATCAAAAACCCATTGCCATTGTTCTTGAGTTCTCAGTAGTCCTCATTGGCTGCTATGTTCAGCGAGTCTGGTTTTATCCCAGGCTTTTTCAGACCCAGGCCAGCTGGCCATGGTGTGTTCCCGACAGAACATCCCCATTGTCTCAGTGTGTGGGTGCACCCCTCGTGGTCCTGAGATCCATGCTCGTGCTCTCTCTCCTTCTGCTCCTGATTTGGACCTTGAGATTTCTGTCCGGTGCTCCAATGTGGGTCTCTGTCTCTGTCTCCTTTCCTCACCTGATGAAGGTTAATAATCAGGAGGATGCCTATATGTTTTTCTTTGGGTTCTCCTTATTTAGCTTCTCTAGGATCACTAATTATAGGTAGGCTCAATGTCCTTTATTTATGGCTAGAAACGAAATATGAGTGAGAACATCCCATGTTCC